TCTCTCTCCCTCCGTCTCCCTCTCTCTTTCTCTCCTCTTTCTCTCCTCTCTCTCCTTCTCTCTCTCCATCACTCTCTCTCTCTCTTCCTCCGTCTCCCTCTCTCTTCCTCTCCGTCTCGTGTGCGTGCTCGCTCTCTTCTCCCTCTCCCCTCTCTCTCCTCCCCCTGGTTTGCAGCTTCATTACCCCTGGTTGAATTGTATTAGGATTGAGAACCGAACCCTACCTAGTGGCTTGCTTGCGGCCCCTTCAGAAGCCAGGCCTGCCCCGGGGAAGTTCTACCACTTGCCCCTTCTGATCGCTCTTGTGACCGCCCAACTTTTTCAAGAAACGAGAAGAGTGGAAGTTGGCAGCTGCCCCACAGAGGAGACTATCTTGGGCAGTCTTAAAATGAGTGGCTCAGTTTTATATAAGGTGCCTCCTCGACCTCAGAGCTATTTGTGTGGGTCCTTACCTCATCTGCCGCTTGCAATTCCTCTCATTTTTTTTCCTTTAGATACCTGAGTGATCTAGAGAAGCTCTCAAAATACTTATCGATGTCTCGGCCCTAAAGTGCCCTTGGGATGAATAATGGAGGTTTTTTTTTTCTAAATCAGCACTTATGACTCTCCCGAACAACTTTTGGAAATCCATTTCCCTTTGCATTACCTGCCCTCTTCTGTCCAGATGCTCCTTGACTTGCAACAGTTCATTTAGTGACTGTTCAAAGTTGCAACGGCACCGGAGGGGGGGGGAAATGACCCTTTTTCACACTTAACGACCCTTGTAGCATCTCCATGGTCATGTGATGATCAAAATTCAGACGCTTGGCAACTGAAATAATAGAAAATAGCCAGCTTGGCCAATGACTCCTATTTATGACTGCCTGACAAGCACAGTCAACGGGGAAGCCGGATTCACTTAAAAACCATGTAACTAACTTCACAACTGCAGGGATTCGCTTAATAACTGGCAAGGACGGTGGTAAAACGGGGGGAAAACTCATTTAACAAATGTCTCACTCAGCAGCAGAAATTTTGGGCTGAATTGTAGTTGTAAGTCAAAGACTACCCGTACTAAGGTAAAGGTAAAGGTTCCCCTCGCACATCCATGCTAGTCATTTCCGTCTGTAGAGGGCGCTGCTCATCTCCGTCACAAAGCCGAAGAAGAGCCAGTGCTGTCCGAAGACGTCTCCGTGGTCATGTGGCCGGCAGGACTAAACCCCGAAGACGCACGGAGCGCTGTTCCCTTCCCACCAAAGGGTTCCCCATTTTTCTACTTGCATTTTTTTTTTACATGCTTTCGAACTGCCAGGTTGGCAGAAGGTGGGACAAGGAACAGGAGCTCACTCCCATTACACAGCGCTAGGGATTCGAACCGTTGAACTGCCTACCTTGTTTTGATGGACAAGCTCAGCGTCTTAGCCCCTGAGCCACCGCATCCCCTTTACCTGTACTAGCATTCTCTCCCCCCCTCCCCCGGTGTGACGATTTTCTATTGTTGTTCCTTCCTCGTAGGTCAGTTACATGGAGATCTACTGCGAGAGGGTTCGAGACTTGCTGAACCCCAAAAACAAAGGGAATTTGCGGGTCCGGGAACACCCACTGCTCGGGCCTTATGTGGAAGACCTGTCCAAGCTTGCGGTCACTTCCTACACCGACATCGCAGACCTCATGGATGCTGGGAATAAAGCGAGGTTGGTATCTTTGCACTGCATTATTAAATTCCTTCTGGTGATTATTTCTCTTCAAAGCAGCTGTATTGAATTTGGTGGCTTATGATTATAAAATTCAATTTTAGCTCTGGCTAAAGCCTTTGAGAAGAAAGGGGGAGAGTGACCTCATTAAAGAAGCAAGCAAAACTTTCTCACCTCTCGTGGAAAATGTCCCTCTGATTTGTGTGGCCCCACCATTCAGCCAACCATCTGCTCAAGGGAGAATATTTGAGGAAATATTCTCTGCCTATCTAAAATCTCTCTCAGATGCTGAGACCTTCCAGTGACCTCAGAAGCTGGACGGTGGACCCCCTGTGTCAGCCCTTAGAAGTAGCTAGTCTGTTGTGTTTTTGATATTTTGTTTTCTCTTTTGTGTGTGTGTGTGTGTTCATAACTTTTATTTTGTATCAATGTATCATACGTAAGGAAAAATAATAATAGGAAATTAAGGGAGGGGAAAAGAAAACATGAGGTACAAGGGAAAAAAGCAAAAAAGCGTTGACTTCCAACTCTTTTTAGCCCAGTATAAGACAACAACATTCCAGCCCCAACTTTTTACTTTTACATATTAGTATATAACTAGCTATTTCTATGAGAACAAATTTATCTAATCAGCAAAACCAACGTCAAAGTTTCAGGGTTTTATTTTTCATGACAAGCACAAAATCCAGGAGTGATACCCAAATAAAAAAACATAAATATATTCTCCTCTTTGAATAAAGCAATCGATGTAACCCTTCATCTGCTTTATCGTCTTGCCTTATCTATATATTTTGTTTTCCTGAAGCATAAATTTGTGTCCCCTTTTTCCTTCCCAAGGACGGTAGCAGCTACCAACATGAATGAGACCAGCAGCCGCTCTCATGCTGTCTTCACCATAGTTTTCACGCAGAAGAAACACGATGCGGAAACCAACCTTTCCACCGAGAAGGTAATCTATGTCTTCCCCTGGGAAATAGCCGTGGCAATCGATCCTTGCAACTGATCATAAAATCCCAGAGCTTATGGGAGGCTGTGATAGCTGTTTTTCTAGGAATAGGATAGTATAGGAGGGAATACCATACATCACTCTGGAAAATCTTTGGAAAACTCGCCCCCTTTTTTAAAACAGCCCTGTTCTTGAGTTAGATATATTTTCTTTAAGACCAGATTTTTAAAAAATAGAAAAGCAACAAAGATAATTAGGGGACTAGAGGCACATAGTTGCAGGAATAGTTGCCGGAATTGGGTATGTCTAATCTGGTGTTAAAGGACTACAGGTGACACGACAGCAGTCTTCCAAAATTTGAGGGACTGCCACAAAAAAGAAGGAGGAAGTGTGTTTGTCAGCCTATTCTGCAAAGCACCAGAAGGCTGGACGGAAACTAATCAAGGAGAGAAGCAACCTGAAATTATGGAGAAATTTCCTGACAGTGAGAGCAATTAATCAGTCCAAAGGCTTTCAAAAAGAGATTGGACAGCTGTTTGTCTGAAATGGTATAGGCTCTCCTGCTTGAGCAGGGGGTTGGACTAGAAGACCTCCAAGGTCCCTTCCAACTCTCCTGTACTATTATTCTGTTAGTTTGTCTGGCTTTTCCAAATGAATCTTACTATATTTGGAATATAAAAGAAGGAAAGAGAAATCACCAGTCATGGGAAGGGAAGTGAGGAAGAATGTGAAAGATAGAGAGACCAACTTCTTTTCCTTTCCCACACACACAAGCAGAGGTGCTTCTGCCTAGCAGAACTTCACCAATTAATAATTAATTCTTTTCTGCCTCCTCCTTACAAGCCTACTTTAGATAGGCGATGGACATAGTTAAAGTTTCAGCGGGATTTGTATGTTTAAAAAACGCACATCCCCAGCGGGAGAGAAGCTTTCTAGCTTGGGAGAATACTTTGGAAAACCACAACAAAAAGCAGACAATTTATTCAGCACTGTATAGGCTGTATCGGTCCATTTGAACACTGTTGAGTCCTGGCTTTTGTTGGATCCTGTCAAATTATAACCCCCACCTGACCTGATCCTCTGGATCGTAGTACTGAACTGTTCGTTGCTTTGCCTGACCTGCCTCTCCTTTCCAGGTTAGCAAAATCAGTCTTGTGGACCTCGCTGGGAGTGAGAGAGCCGACTCTACTGGTGCCAAAGGGACTCGACTAAAGGTATAAGCTCCCTCGGGTGGGGTCTGGTGGGCAAACGGCCATCGTTCTTCCATTTGCAAGAAGCCCAGTTGCCCTTTTGATCAGAATCTGACCAGTGGGATTCCTTGATGGGCTTCTTTAGCACACTGTTCTGACCTAGGCTTCCCAAGATCATGAAGCAGACTCTTTGTCCCGATAAAACCCCTTTTATTTGGGTTAAAGTGAATTCCTCTCGACCAAAGTTGGCAAACAGTCTTTCAAGAGATTTCACAACTACAGACCTCTATCAGGCTTGGAGAGCTGCCAGGCCAATAGCTTCTAAATGCCACGCTGTAAGCAGAAATTACTTGGCAAGAAGTCAGGAACAGATCTTCATCCTAATGAATTGAACTAATTGTCTCCTGCAAACACTCCTCCCCTTTCGCTCCCCTTTATTCCCTGTGGGAGGGGCCATTCACCGTCCACCTGTGGCTTTATTCCCAAGTCGACCCTTGTTCCTTAGCTGTTCCCTTCTTCTGGCAGCTCTGCGCATGCACACACTGGGAACAGGCTCCAGCTGCTCTTCTGCCTCACTGATCTCCAACTCCGAAGGCAGCTGATAACTGTCGGATGACTCTGGCCCCATCTCTGCCTCCGACACAGAGCACTCATCAGCCTTTCCCAGGCTTCAGCACTGGCCCATGGTTCCTCCCCAACCTCCTCACTGTCCGAGTCTGCCGCCAGATCACACGCGACCTCATTTTTCGGAGAGACCAACTCCTGCCCGTCTCCTTCCAAACTCCCTGGCAGCTCAGGGAATGTGCTTGAAGAACTGATGATTGTCCTCTTCAGCAATTGCTTACCGGAGTCTCAACCTCCGGGCAAATCCAGGCATTAAGATCCCCGCTGCAGTTTAAATCAATAAACGCCCAGCCTGCTCGAGGACAGGGAAGCAAGATTGTGTTTCCCACTTCCTGGGATTTGAGCAACGTTTCCATCTGTTTCCTTTTCCAGGAAGGGGCAAATATCAACAAGTCCCTCACCACGCTGGGGAAGGTGATATCGGCCTTGGCGGAAGTGGTAAGTCCAGATTTTTTTGGAACGCCTTAAAAAAGAGGATTGCTTTGCAGGGGAGTCCCAGGGGAGACGTGAAAGGGACATTTGTTTCCAGGAGTCTGTGTGTGTCACTCGCACGGCCCGGTTCCCCCTTTGCTGGGCTGCCAAGTTGCAAAAGTTGGGGACCGCTGATATAGCAAAGATTCAAATTTACCCCCCAAAAAATAAAATAATGACTTACGATCAGTCCCTGCATGTACAACCATTGTAGCATCCTCGGGATCAGGTGATCATAATTCAGACCTTTGGCCACCAGCGTACCTTTACAACGGTGGCCGCACCCTGGGGATCGCGTGTTCGCCGTTAGCCACCTTCCCACCCGCTTCTGACGAGCAGCATCAATGGGAGAAGCTGGGTTTTCTTAATGACTTTGTCATTAAGCGATTCACCCACCTGCGATGATTCATTGAGCAACTGCAGCAGAAAAAGAGCTCGTGAAATTGGGCACGGCTCGCTTAACGACTGCCTTGCTTAGCAGCAGAAACTCTGGTCTTAACTCAAGGACTACCTGTATTGGAACTTGGTATATGTGCTAGGTGTCATAAAACGTCCCTACGCCTGTTTTAGTAGTTGCCATAAAAAAAAGTGGGGGGAGAGGAAGGAAATCTGGAAGAGCAGTGCCGCAGTTTGGAAGCGAAAGTACATTCCAACTCTTCTCTTTAAAAGATTGTAACTAAACTACCAGAGCTTTTGCCCACAAATATATTTAATTGGAGAACGTGAATGATGACATCCAGCCTGTGAATGTGCTCAGTTGGAGAATCTGATTTATGACATACCCAGGGGGGAGAGGGGAAAACAGGGTCACAGGGGACTGTAAATGACGTAGGCCAGAGTTGGCTTCATACAGGGCAGGGCCAGTATGTCTCCTCTAATGAATCCTTTGAAGTTTTTTGAAGTTTGGCTCGAGAATCATGATTTAATTAGGGCGATGGCTGGAATCCTGACAGTAGGCTATTCTTCACCCCATTTACCTCGCTAATTTTAGTTGGCTTAAAGCCCTTCCTGTTTGTTTCCTCTCGTGTAAAGCTTCCTGCCCATCTTTGAGGCTGGCGTTATTTTTCATAGCTACCTGTACCCTAGAGTTATGATATGGATGCTTTTGCATTTTAGGGTGATGGGAGGTAAGACTAACTGGTGTGCTTCTTTGGGGAAATGACAGTGGAACTTTTTATCTCTGACTCTTCGTTACCGATGCAAAATCCCCAGTTTGTGGTCCTACCTCACTTTTATCTTCTTCTTTTTTCCACTCTCTGCTTTCAAAACTAGGATAACTGCACCAGCAAGGTATGATGGGTAAAGAATGTGCTCACTGAATGTGGTAGCCTATGTAGAACAGTATTTCTCAACCGTGGTAGCTTGAAGATAGGTGGACTTCAACCCCCCCAGCATGCCGGCTGGGGAATTGTGGGAGCTGAAGTCTACACACCTTCACGTTTCCAAGGTTAGGAAATGCTGCTTTAGTCACCCTTGGTTCCTAGCTAGCAATGAGCTGCTAAAGGAAACACAGTCCCACCCATCTAACCCTCTCTCGCATTCCAAGCATGCCTGCTTCAAAGATTTGGGATGAGCATTGGGAAAAGCCACCGACTTTTTCATTGTGTTTGCTCTCCAACTGTAAATTCAGCCAGTCTGGATGGACCTCGGTGAGGGCAGTCTCCTTTGCGCAGTTGCAACCCTTCACGGCAAGTCAGACCTCCTCTGTAGGAGTGGAAACTCTTTTGCCAGGGAGCAAAACTCTACACCAGCTTTCTCGAAGCAGGGATGTTTGTAGCAGCTAGAGAAATCCTGCCACTCTATAAAGAAAATGGTCTTGGCATGACCAAATTTTCCTATATCAAAGATAGTTCTGCAGGGAGCATCCTCTGCTTCAGAAAAATGGGGCAAAATATGTGATTGGATCACACGTGGCTCACGTCTCTAACAACAACAGGGGTCTTTTAATGTTTTGGGCTGTCCTAGTATAGAGTACATGCACACAGGCATATGTAGAATAGCAGTTTCTCCCTCTTTCTCTCTCAAAAAATATTTTTCCAGTAGGAGTTGGATTTTGTTTCTTTGTTTTGCAGCAAGGCAGCTTTCCTCGGCCCTGATTAGACTCACCGGCTGCCTTTTGGCTAACCCCATCAGAATCATGGCCAGGATCCAACCCCCCCCTGCACATCCGAGACAGGGCTCCAGTCCCATCTTTCTGGAGGGTCGGCCCTTCTGTGCTCTAAAATCATATTTTTAAAAACCATTAGTTTAAGCCCAGAGCACTTTCAAAAATGTGTTTCCTTCTTGGCGAAGGGAAACTCAGTTGGGTGGGAGAGGAAAGAGAGAAAGAGAAAAGAGACAACTATAGAAACATGGAACAAAGCTGGCCTTGCTTTGTTTTGCCCCACAGTTCCCCGTTTCTGTCCGCTGAGAATGAAGAAATTTCTATCCAGGACTGCCATGTAACTTGGATAATAAAATGTTCTCATCCTGACAGATACGTTGGGAAACACCTTGGTGCCTTTCAGCAGATCCTTCCTTCCTACCTTCCTTCCTTCCTTCCTTCCTTCCTTCCTTCCTTCCTTCCTTCCTTCCTTCCTTCCTTCCTTCCTTCCTTCCTTCTTTCTTTCTTTCTTTCTTTCTTTCTTTCTTTCTTTCTTTCTTTCTTTCTTTCTTTCTTTCTTTCTTTCTTTCT